ACACCATTCGCACTACCATGTTCATGATCGGTGGCAGAATCGTCATCACGATCGTCATCACTATCGTCATCACTCCTCCTCATCTTCATCCTCCCTGTCTTCCTCCTCCTCCCCCTGGTACTCCTCCTTCTCCTCATGCTCCTCCTCCACCTCGCCCGCCTGGCCCTCATCCTACTACTCCATGCTCCTCCTCCACCGTCAGATTGTCCTCGTTATTCCTGTTCTTCTCTTCCTCCTCTTCCTCCTCCGCTTCCTCCTCATTGTATTCCTCCTCGTTCTTCTCGGTCTCTTGCTCCTCCAACCTCCTCCTCCTCCTCGTTCTTCTTCTCCTCCTCCTCCTCCTCCTCCTCCTCCTCCTCCTCCTCCTCCTCCTCCCCCCAAACCTCCTCCAACCTCCGCGTGCTGCCTCCTCATCCACTTCCTGCTCCCCCCACCTGCCCCTCCGCCCCCATCTCTCCCCCGCCCTGTCTTCCTCCTCCTCCTCCTCCTCCTCCTCGTCCTCCTCCTCCCTCCTCCTCCTCCTCCTCCTCCTCCTCCTCCTCCTCCTCCTCCTCCTCCTCCTCCTCCCCCCCCCCTCACCATCATCATCAGCATCAGCATCATCATCATCATCATCATCATCATCATCATCATCATCAGCATCATCATCATCATCATCATCATCATCATCATCATCATCAGCATCATCATCATCCTCGTCATCAACATCAGAGTGAGGGGGCCGAACGGTCATTCATTGTCCCTGGGTGCGTGGCTGAAGTGAGATTCCGCGGTGCGGATTCGTGTTGTTGTTGTTGTTTGTTGTTGTTGTTTGTTGTCGTCGTCCCACCCGCAACCCGCCCCGCGACCCACCCGCGACCCACCCCGCGACCCACCCGCGACCCACCCACCCGCGACCCACCCGCGACCCACCCCGACCCACCCACCCCCTGCGACCCACCCGCGACCCACCCGCGACCCACCCGCGACCCCGCGACCCACCCCGCGACCCACCCCGCGACCCACCCCGCGACCCACCCGCGACCCACCCCGCGACCCGCCCGCGGCCCACCCCGCGACCCACCCGCGACCCGCCCGCGACCCACCCGCGACCCACCCGCGACCCACCCGCGACTTCGACCCAAACCACGTTCAAGGTACAAACCAACATTTTCGGCGCCTGCGGCGGGCTTTTTTTCCATTCCTTCCAGGTGGAGAGCCCGCGACCCACCCCGCGATCAACTCGCGACCAACCCGCGACCCAAACCACGTTCAGGGTACAAACCACATTTTTCGGCGCCTGCGGCGGGCATCTTTTGAATCGTTCTAGGTGGAGAAACTGCGGCCCACCCGCGACCACGTTCAGGGTACAAACCGATTTTTTCGGCGCCTGCGGCGAGCATCTTTTGCATTCGTTCCCGGTGGAGAACCCGCGGCCCACCCGCGACCCAAACCACGTTCAGTGTACAAACCAATTTTTTCGGCGCCTGCGGCGGGCTGCTTTTGCAGGAGGACGAGGAGGGGGAGGAGGAGGAGGAGCAGCAGGAGGAGGAGCAGCAGGAGGAGGAGGAGGAGGAGGAGGGAGGGGACGACGACGATGACGACGACGACGACGACGACGAAAAGGAGGAGGGTGGAGGATCGGGAGGGGGGGAAGAGGAGGAGGACGACGAGGAGGAACATGACGACAATGGGAGGACGATGATGGAAGGACGAGGGGGGGAGAGGGAGGACGAGGAAGAAGCGGAGGAGGAGGAGGAGGACGAGGTGGAGGAGGGAGGACGACGATGACGATGAGAACGAAGACGAGGACGAGGAAGAGGAGGAGGAGTAGGAGGCAGGGAGGCGGAGGAGAGGAGGAGGAGGAGGAGGAGGAGGAGGAGGAGGAGGAGAAGAGGAGGAGGAGGAGGAGGAGAGGACGGAGGAGGAGGCCACCACGAGGTCCGCCGGCTTGACGACGCCCGCGTCGCCCGCGCCCGCCCCCTCACTCTTATCCGCAATTGCGGGGTGCTATGTAATATTTGTCTCCTCCTCCGCCTCCTCCTCGTCTTCCTTTCGTTCCTCCTCTCCCTTCCGTTCCTCCTCCTCCTCTTCCAACTTTTCCTCCGTTCCTCTCCTCCTCCTCCTCCCCCACCGCCTCCGCCTCCTCCGCCTCCTCCTCCTCCTCCTCCTCTTCCTCCTCCTCCTCCGCCTCCTCCTCCTCTTCCTCCTCCTCCTCCTCCTCCTCCCCCTTTGTCTCAGCCAGGGAACCCCCAAAGGGCTCCCAAAGAAACCCCAAAAAGCCTCTGGAGAAGCTCCAAAAAGCCCCCAGCGAAGCCCCAGGAGGAACCCAGATGAATTTCAATCGGCCAGAAGATAAGCCCCAGGAGGCCTCCAGAACTCCCAAGAGGCCAGAATTCCCAAGAGGCCTCCAGCACTCTCCAGTAACTCGCAAGAAGCCTCCAGAATCACCTGCTTGTGGCAAAAAACAAAAATCACACGGGGGGGCCCTTCGGCCCTCCCTGGGTGATTCTTCTTCGGGGCGGCAGCGATGAAGAAACAGCTAGGTTCGGAAGCATGTCCCGCCATTGGGCGGGAGCGCCGTTCTGAACGACGGGGGCAAATTGCCCATCCGAAAAGGAGGCCCACGCAACAACTGGAGCACCATTCTGACACACTGGAAACAGTCGGATTGGAATGACAAACCAACATGACACATACAAACACAAAACCATAATATTTCTTGGACGGAGCCAATGGAGACAGGAGGGTCGTGCTCATATTGTTTAGTTGTGGATGGGGGAGGAAGAGGAGGAGGGCGAGGAGGACAAGGGGAGGGCGAGGGAGAGGAGGACGGGGATGGAGCCCTTTTCCAGCCTCTTCCCGCCGCCAGCTCAACGGCCTCCACCCCGCGCGCGCGGCGCGCGCTCGGCGCCATCGCCGCGCCCCGCGGCCCTCGCCCGTGCCATTCGGGCCCGCGGCGCGGCTCAACGCCCCGCATCTCTCCCCGCGCCGCGCGGGCCCCGCTCCCTGGCGACCCCCCTGCGCGAGCCCCGCTTTCTCCGCGGGCCCCCTGAGGCGCGCGGCGCTGGGCGGGCGCTCGCCCCGCGGTCGCGGCCCCGAGCGCGGGCCCGCCACGCGCCGTTCGCGCGCGGCTCCGTCCACCACCGGTGGCGCGGGCTGGCGCCTCTCTCGCGTGCAACCATTCGTCTAGCGTTGGGACCTCGGCGGCTCTCGTCTTGCCGCGCCCGAATCTCTTCGCCAGTCATTTCTCGTGGCGAGATCCAGCGCTTGCCGCCCTGTGGCAGGTGGCGTTGGGCTCCACCGTCGCTGCCTCCTTACTCGGCTGCCGTACCTTCTCGCGCGCAGTGCTCGGGGGCCCAGCGCCGCGGGCGGCGGCTGCTGCGCGCTTCGGCGCACCCCGCAGCAAGAGGACGGGGAGGGAGGGAGGGGGGGAAGAAGAGGAATGGGAATAATCATCAAAATGGCCCTGTGCACGCGCACATCTCTCCAAGGGACGAGCAGCAAAGGGTGCCTGGGCTCTCCATCTGGAGGCCTGAGTTACGCCGGCGTGCAGACTGTCACCGCTGGCAACGGGGCAGCGCAGGCCCAGTGGCGTAGACGACGGCGCGCAGACTGCGGCCGCAACCGTCAGCGACACCCCCAGGGGGATACAGCGCCTGGGACATGCACCTGAAATTATTACAAGAGACAAGGTACGGCCTGAGGCTGACTGGGAGGGGACGGGGACCATAAAAGGCCAAGGTCCCATCCATCCTAATACTTACCTCGATCAGCACCCTTCCCTCGGCCTCCTCGCTTACAACAGCGACACGGTAAGCGAGCAAGCCCAGTAGCAGGCTCACCTCTAAGAGTATGCTGAAACCGAACAGTGCGGAGGGGTGGGGTTCAGATGGGGCTGAAGGTCCGGAGGGGGAGTGATAAAAGCATGCGTGGTGAGGGTGGGTGGCGGTGGCCCATGGATCCCTGGCACCTACCTAGCGCAAGCCACAGAAAGCTGACCCGCCTGCAGGGCCCCCCTCGCCCTCCGGCCTCGTCGAATCACTTGAGCAGACCCATCAGCCGGTGCGCCTCGCGCGCCAGCGCGCCAGGCGGGGCCCCGCCGATTGTTTTGATTCCGTCTTGCTCCTTCAAGGTGAGCACGATCGCTTTGAGCAGCGCCATCGAGTATCGAGTCTGAGAGTTCGCCGCTTAGAAGGAACTGCGCCTTCACGAGATCCGTCTGGCCGTCGGGAACCCGCCATCCTCTCGGTTCGTAGCTCCATCGCGTCGCCCTTGACCGCCGCCGCTTCGACCATGGTCCCGAACGCCGCAGATGGAGCGCTGCCAATTTCTTATGACTATTCGTCTTCTTTTTCACGGAGTTCGTGTTGCTCTCCTTGCTGGCTTGTCTCTCCCTCTCCCACTCCGACTGTGCCTCCAACTTGAAGGTCTGAATTTCCACGAGCGTGGCCTCTACCGTCTTGGAGGTTAAAGAAACGAGCCACGTGTCGTACACCGCGCTGGTTAGAGCGCGGAGCTGCGCCTCGCCTGCGAATGCCAGCTTGGTAAGCACCACGACGAGCTCGAAGATCGTCTGCTTCTTGTCGGCATTGTGGCCACCGTTGTCGGCTGCGCCTCCGCCGCTGTCGTCCTTCTTGGCCTGTTCCGCGACAAAGAGGAGGAAGAAGAGGAGGAGGAGGAGGAGGGAGGGAAGGGAAGGAAGGAGAGGAAGACAGAGAGGAGGAAAAGTAGGAGGAGGAGGAAGAGGACGGGGAGGGAGGGGAGGCGGAAGAGGGGAGGAGAGGAAGATGGAAGAGGGGGAAAAGGAGGGAGGAGGAAAGACGAGGAGGAGAAGGGAGTAGAGGTAGAGGAAGCGGAGGAGGACGGGAAGGGAGGGAGAGGAGGAGTGAAGAGTCGAGCAGAAGGAAGGAAGGAAGGAAGGAAGATGTTGCTGATGATGGTGCTGATGATGATGAGGATTTGGAGGAGGAGGAGGAGGCGGAGGAGGGCGTGTGTGGAGGAGGTCGACCCCGCGGCGCCTTCCCCCGTGCGCGCCCGCGGCGACGCCGTGCGGGCCCGCTTCCCGCCGCCGCCCGCGGCCCCGTCGGGGAGCGGCCTCCTTCCTGGGGGAGGGCGGGCGGGCCCCAGGTCGGTGCGTGTGCGTGTGCGTGTGCGTGTGCGTGTGCGTGTGCGTGTGTGCGTGTGTGCGTGTGTGTGCGTGTGCGTGTGCGTGTGCGTGTGCGTGTGCGTGTGCGTGTGCGTGTGCGTGTGCGTGTGCGTGTGCGCGTGTGTGCGTGTGCGTGTGTGCGTGTGCGTGTGCGTGTGCGTGTGCGTGTGCGTGTGCGTGTGCGTGTGCGTGTGCGTGTGCGTGTGCGTGTGCGTGTGCGTGTGCGTGTGCGTGTGCGTGTGCGTGTGCGTGTGCGTGTGCGTGTGCGTGTGCGTGTGCGTGTGCGTGTGCGTGTGCGTGTGCGTGTGCGTGTGCGTGTGCGTGTGCGTGTGCGTGTGCGTGTGCGTGTGCGTGCGCGTGCGTGTGCGTGTGCGTGAGCGTGTGCGTGTGCGTGTGCGTGTGCGTGAGCGTGTGTGTTTGTGTGTGCGTGTGCGTGTGTGTGCGTGTGCGTGTGCGTGTGCGTGTGTGCGTGTGTGCGTGCCAGCGTCTTCGGTTTGTCCCCGCCATCCTGTGGTGTTGGGTCCTCAGTTTGCAGAGACAGCGCCCCGCGTCGTCCTCCTTCCTCCCCACTCCCTCCTCCTCCTCCTCCTTCTCCTCCTCCTTCCTCTTCCTCCTCCTCTTCCTCCTCCCTCTCCTCGTCCTCCTCGTCCTCCTCCTCCTCCTCCTTGCCCCTGCCCTCCGCATGTGCAACATGCGGCCCCAGTGCCCCAGCGGCTATGCTCGCATAGCACCACTGGTCCTCCTTCCTGGGAAGGGTGCTGGGGCCCCGGATCGGTGGCTGCCAAGACCTTCGACCACACGCAAGAGTGGCCCTGGGCAAGCGCGACCTATGGTGCGCGGCTTCAGGGGGCCGCGAGGGCACCACATCCAAGCGCGCAGAGCGGTGCTGGGGAGACCCCTGTGGGCCGCACCAGAGGTTACTCTCGCGAAAGGTCACTCTCACGTGCAGCCGGAATCTTCTGGTCGCGACCGAGGAGGGGGCCCTTATCACTGGGTGCCAGAACTTTCCTTCTTCAGTCCGAGGCCGATCTGGTTCTGCCATCCGCCGATCTGACTCTGCCGACCCGCGGCCCCACATGTCCTGGACGTTCCCCGAGGTTGGTGTTTCACCCCGAAGCCATGTTTGATGGTCCCAAGGGCCGATGGCGGGCCCCAGCGACCAACATCGAGGAGCCGCCGGGATTGCGGAAGCCATATCGTCGGAGATCTGGGACTCGCTGACTTCTGTCTTGCTCCTCGTCGTCGGATGGTCGGATGACCTGATCAATTGGAGGGGGCGGGAGCCTATGATCATTGGATGCCAGAATCTCAATCTTGGCTGCCCTCAGGGGCAACGTCGGGGGGGGATAGGCCAGGGGGGGGATGCATCGGCCCCCAATCGACCACTGATCGCCATTAAGCGCCCGACAGCCCCGACCTGCCCAGGAGCGTACGGACTCCCTATCGGGGGCCTGTCGCCGATTCATCGGTGACTCAAGCTCGGTGCTTCCCCCCCCGCTGAGCCAGTCCCCCCCCCCCCTTCTCGTTGCCCTGCCCTGGTCCTTGGATGCCCAGAATTTTCTTCTGGTCGCGACTAGCAATAGTGGTCGCTACCGATTCTGCTTCAAATACTTGTAGCGGGTCGAACCCAACTTGCTTCAAAGTCTCTCGCGACCGATTTGGGAATCGGTCGCGACCAATCGCGACCGACTTGAAGTGCCGATCGGTCCTTATGATCGCGACCGAGAAAATACTGTCTCCAATTGTCCGGGCGAGCGGGGCTTTCCTGACCTTCCAGAGTGCTAGCAAATAGCCCTCCAGGCCTATTGACCTATCTCGGCTTCTGAGAACCTTGGCTGGAATTTGAATAATGTCGAGGTTCTGATGCGAATTACGTGTTTAGCCCTCCTGAATGTTCAAGCTCTCCTCGACACTGCGACCCGGGCGCTGCAATTCTTTCACAACCAAGCGTGTTCGCCCGATTAGCTGCGCCTCACCGAGAGGCGCACAGGGGTGCCTGGAGGTGCCCCTATCGCCTCGACCAGCAACCAAGGCGGGAGTGGGAGGGGGCGATGAGGGGAGGGGAGGAGGGCGAGCACGGGCGAGCAGAGGTGGCGGTATGGGGGGGAGGGTGATCGGGAGCGGAGGGGGGGATCCTTCCCCCCTCCCCCCCTCTCTCGCTCCTCTCACTCCTTCCCTCCCTTCCTCCATCCTTTCCCCTCCTCCTCGAACCGAAGACTGGCAAGGCGCGCCTAGTGCAAGGGGCAAGGGGGAGAGGTTCGTCCGTTCAGTCATTCCCTGGTGTGAGGGTGGGTGGGGAACACTTCCAAGGGTCGCCGAGGGCCCCAGTGAACCTTCTAGGACAGGTGGTGGGGCAAAAGGGCATCATCTGTGTTTCAAGGCAAATATGTGGGAACTCATGGGATCCTCCCGCGTCATCATGCTGGCTCTTACGAGCCGACGCGAGACGAACGACGCTGAATCGGCGCTCCATCAATGATTACTAGACACTTGTGCACGCGAAGGCTCTCTGAAGAGGGAGTTTCGAGGACATACAACGCTCCCATGACCTGCAGCCGAAAGACACCATAGGGGCCGCGCCAACTCTACCCGAACCTCGCTGGGGCATGGTGCGGGTTTCCATCCCAGCGCCGCGCCAGACAGACGACGCGGAGCGCTGCTCTTCCCGTTGCTGCCCTGGTCGCCGGTGGCGCCGAGGTCGTCCGCCGGGCCCCCTGTTTCACAGGAGGTCCGCCAAGGTGTGCTGGCCACCCGCGTCTTGTCAAGAGGCAACTTCTGGGCGGGCCTCGCCTCGAACATTAGGAGGCAACCAGCCCAATCTAAACCCCCTCGCGTCACGAACAAAATCATGGCGAGAAGTGTTTCGCTATGTTCGGCCTCAGGGAGCTTTTGCTGGGCCTCGGGGCCGTCAACAAACGGTCGAGCCCTCTGGGGGTAGATATTATGAAAATTCATGACATCAAGGGGTCTGGTAAGCCAAATTACGGGGCCACTAAGCCGGATCAACACTGCGCCGAGAATTAAACTGGAATGCGCCGACTAAACGGGATCCGGCTGGATTGAGCGGGAGAAAGCCCACGACGCGGGATTATGCCGGATTCGACCCGTCTTCGACCACGGATATACCAGCGCCAATGCTGAATCCGACCTCCCAGGAGTTGCATCCCAAGTCTCGCCCTCTAGAACAAGAAACAGCAAGCGTAGACATAAGCTTTGGACGGTCCGCGCCGATTTCTTGGATCAGCGCTGGACACCTCTCCAGGGCGCGCGGAGCGCGCCAGGGGTGCGCCGGAAGCGCCGCCGGGGGTTCCAGCGCCGATCCCAAGTAAACGTTTTCGTATTTGGCGTTTCGACCTTGGGCCGAGGGGGGGGGGCGCCAGAGACAACCAAGATCTACTCCATGAGGGGGGGGGGGCGAGGGCCCGCGCAAGAAGTCCGCGCGGAGCTCCGAACGTTTGTGTTTATGCATGTTTCTCGTATCACGAAGCCTTGTCCCTCTTCCTCGAAGGATTGCAAACAAATCCTCGAAGGTTTTTGTTTGCAATTCTTCGTTTGTTTTTTTGTGCAATCCTTTTTTTTTTTGGTTTTTGTTTTGAAATCCTTTTTTGTTGCAATTCTGTTTTTTTGCAATCCTCCCCTCTGCCTCCTCCAGTCGTCCCCCCTCGCCGCAGGCGCACGCGGGGGCAGCACCGCTCCTGGGCGCGAGGGCCCTCGGACGATCGACGGGAGGTCCAAGCAGGACGCGAGGAGGATCAGATCGAAGGATTGCAAAAAAAAGATTGTTTTTTGTTGCTTGTTTTGTTTTTGTTTGTTTGCAATCCTTCGTTTTTTGTTTGCTTTTTTGTTTTGCACCTGCAGAGGCAAGACTCCAAACCGTGAACGAACGCGCAACGCCCGAGGCCACCTGAACAGCCGCGAATTTCGGACCACGTCCGCCCTGAGTTCCCGGGATACGGAACCCCTAAACAAGTCACTACAAAACAACTCACCCATGGCAGCCTGCTGAGCGTGCTGTCGATCCAGCTAGACTGGCCCCGAATCCAGAGTCCTTAAATCTCTGAACGACCGCGGTCCTCACACGCTAGACAGCAACAGCAGCAGCAGCAGGAGGAGAAGAAGGAGGAGGAGGCGGGGTGGGAGAAGGGCGTCTACACTCGATGAATAGAAACTTTCTCAAACGATAGCTCCAGGTCGGTAGCACGATAATCCCCGGCGGACTCAAGCTGAAACACAACAAGAAACTGCGGAACGGGAAAAATAATCTCTGGCGAGAAACTCCCCATGGCTCTGCAACTGCATGAAAGCTGGCATGTAGAGAACCGTTCTTGAGCGAATTCGCAAGACCTGGCGGCCGTATCGCGGTGGACAATCTCCTCCCTCCCATTGCCAGGTGCAGGCGAACAACCTTCGGAGCAGCGGCCGATGATCCTGAATGACACCTCCACCCACGACGGCGGCACCCGCGGGCATCACTGGCAGGAGGGCGGCCCTCGAAGCTGGCGGTCGACCGTGGGCCGCTCCCCCAAAAACCCGCCCCCAGTCGCGGCACCCGTTCGACAAGACTGCCCCACTGAGGGGGGCCATTTTGGGCTACGGCCGGGAGCGTTTGCACAGCGTGTCGCCGAGGCGGCCCCGGCGGGGCACGCTGTGCCGTGCGGGCGGCTAGCGTGACGCTCCGCTCTGCGGGGCGGGAGGCTCGGAAAGGCTTGGGACGTTGACGCCTGGGGGCCGGGGCATGGGTAGCGCGTCGCGCCGAAGCGTGCTGGGCCAGAGCCGGCGGAGCGACACACCATTGAAAGTGCTGGCTGCCCTCCGCGTGGCCGCATCCACGCATGGTGCTGCTATGCCCGCCGCGCCCGGGAGCAAAAAAAACACCTCTGACGGTGAGTGCGCCGAGGCCGCAGGCAGCTGCAGCGGCCGTGGCCGCAGCAGCAGCAGCCTCCAAAAAGCGCCACGAAACGATCGGTCCACGGTAGCTCGGGCGAGCCTCTCGCCGGGCGGGCGCGCGTCTCCGCAGGGCGCCGCATGCGCACACCCTGAACAGGCCAGCTGTCCAACACCTCGGCTTCGCCCCTGGGCCTCGCCATCCGCCCGGAACCCAGCAGCGGCACTGCAGATGAACGGCCGCCAGCTCCAGGAACAAGGAAAGGCGGCACCAACACCAACAGGGCGAGGAGATGCGCGGAGGCAAGGGGGGTCTGCCTGGTGGTGTGGTCCCCCCCTGTCGCTCGAGACAGCCCCAGTCTCTCGCTCGGGGAGGCATCGTGGACCTCCTCGCTGGAGGTGGTTCCCCCGGTGCTGTTGGTATCGCCTTTCCTCCCTCCGACAGCTCGGCCTGCACCGTCCGCGCGAGCTTCTCTATTCACCGAGCGCCCCACGCAGCGCCAGCGACCGGCAATGGAATCGCAGTTCAGTTCTGCCTCACGATACCCCTGGCGTCCCACCGAGAAGGTAGCACGGGACAGCGTCGCTGCCCCGAGCCACGCCCCATGGACATCGGGTCGCAGGGGCCTCCGCGGCGCGCACGGCGCCAGCGCGAGCTGCTCGGAGGGCGAGGCGCCGCGCCGGTCGTCATGCAACCCTGGTGGATCAGTGCGCGCCTGCTGTGGTTTGCGCCTGCTTCGGAACTGGCTCAAGACTGGAACGATGAAGCTGTTTGATCGAAATTAGCTCATCCAGCATCTTGACCTCGCCGTTGGCGGGGTCTGGATGCCTGATAGAGGAGAGCCCGAGTCCTTGCCCCTTGGACTTAGATCGGCGCGTCCGCCTCCAAGTTGAGGGATTGGGAACCGCTCGCTGGCCCCCGCGCCCGGGTCAGTGAACAGGTTCCGCCGTCGAGCAGATCGGCGCGGGCTCGACGGCGCAGTAGAAACCCTTCGCCTCGACGCGCGCGTCGCACACTGGCTGGGGGAGACGTCGGGAACGCGGCGTGGCGCACGGCCGCGCAGCAACAACCGCGCGGGCCTTGCCCCGATCGAAGCGCAAGTCATTTTGCACAGGACATAACGTTCCCAAGTGGCGGCCATGCCCTCTGGCGACTAAACCACCCTCGAAGTGTTGGCAAAATCCCGCCCGGCGTGCTGGGGCGGGATGAGGAGGAGGAGGAGGAGGAGGAGGAGGAGGAGGATGAGGAGGAGGAGGAGGAGGAGGAGGAGGGAGGGAGGAGGAGGAGGAGGAGGAGGAGGGAAGGAGGAGGGAGGAGGGAGGAGGGAGGAGGGAGGAGGGAGGAGGGAAGAGGGAGGAGGGAGGAGGGGAGGAGGGAGGAGGGAGGAGGGCATCGTCAAACGAGTGATCACTTCCACGCGCACCATCGAACAGCGCGCGCGCCACGTTGCGGCACACTGAGCCGAGTGGCAGGCGCCATCCCACGGGCGGGGAAGCGAAGAGCCCGTGCCAAGCACGGGTGCAGCAGAGCCTCCCTCTCGCCACCGCTCGGGCGTCCACTTCCCGTGCACTCTTCGGTGTCGTGCGCGTGTTTTTTTTTTTTTTTTTTTTGCTCGATGGTCCAGGATGGTCCTCGATGGTTCTCGCCGAGAAAGGATGCACACGTCCGAGCGGTGCCAAGCCCTCAGCGAGCCCGGTTCCCACGCTCCACCAAGCTTTACACGGATGGCAAGAGGGGAGAAAGGCAACAGCAAGGAGCAGGAGGACGAGGCGCCACTCCATCTGAGGTTCGTCCGCCCAGCCGCTGCTGCTGCAGTTCCTGCTCTGCCCCTCCTCCTCCCCAAGGGCCTTCGTGTCCTTGAAGAGCTCGCCACGGGCGACGCCAGTGGCGAGTGCGCGAGCGCGGCCGCGAGCGAGAGAGGTGAGCGTAGGGCGCGCGCACCATTCATGAACTCTAATGTGACGGAACATCTCATGCGCAAGATCGACGGCGATAGCACTGCTAAACTCAGAGCGAGAAAGAGTACCGAGAGGCGCCGACTATAAAGGCAGAGGGGTGTCCAGAGGCACGGGAGGAGGGAGAGGGGGGAGGCAACCTTCCACGACCTGATGAAAGTAAGGGCATTGTGGATAGTGAGACAGCAGTACAACATTTCGTGGCCCCAGAGGGAGCCACACCGAAGCTCCCACTGGCGCAGACCGCATGGAGTTCCTGCGCACAGTGCGACGCTTCGTTGCCCCAGGGGGAGCTCCACCGAAGGTCCCAGCAGCGCAGTCGCCGCATGCGGTTCCTGCGCCCAGCGCAAGGTTTCTGAAGCCCAGAGTGAGCTTCACCGAAGGTCCCAGCGGCGCAGCCCCCGCATGCGGTTCCTGCGCCCAGTACAACGTTCCGTGGCCCCAGAGGGAGCGCCACCGAAGGTCCCAGCAGCGCTGTCGCCGCATGCGGCTCCTGCGCCCAGTGCAAGGTTTCTGGGCCCCAGAGGAAGCTCCGTCGACGGTCCCAGGTGGCGCAGTCCCCGCATGCGGTCCCTGCGCCCGGTACACCGCTTCGTGGCCCCAGAGGGAGCTCCAGCGACGGTCCAAGTGGCGCAGTCCCCGCATGCGGTTCCTGCGCCCAGAACAGCGCTTCGTGGCCCCAGAGGGAGCTCCGGCGACGGTCCCTGTGGCGCAGTCCGCATGCAGTTCCTGCGCCCAGTGCAACATTTCGTGGCCCCAGAGGGAGCTACACCGCAGGTCCCAGTGGCGCAGTCCACATCTGTTCCCCCCGCCCAGTACAACGTTTCGTGGCCCCAGAGGGAGGGAGCTCCACCGACGGTCCCAGTGGCGCAGT